AAAATATATATTATGAACTCTCCATAAAAGACTTGCAAATACATATGCAAGACTTTTTATGCATATTTATGCATCTTTTATGTATCAAATTCCCAATTTAATAACCTACCCCATGTTTGTGTTGTAGTTCTCATTAAGCAGATATCTGGGGCAGGTGGAGAAGGCAACAGTCTACCAGCAGGAGATTTTTCCAGAGAGATGGCAGAAGCAGAGCGCATGATGAGGGAAATGCGGAACCGAAACTTCGCAAAGCATCTGCAAGAAGCTGAGGCTGAAAAGAGGGAGGCTCAGCTCTGTAAGGACTTCCCTGGGGTCTCAAATCCGTTCTTTTATAATTAGATTTAAATATATGGTCTGCTAAGTAGAGTCTCCATTCACAGGTGGGAGGCCCCATCCTTACCCTGCCTGATACTATTGAAGCTTCACAGTAGCATCCTATGGTCTGGGGATGGTGGGTAGCCAGCAAGAGACCAAGAATCTTTAATCCAAGTTACTAAATGTTGAAGAAACTCACCTCTTATCATCACATCAAACAAACTTCTTCTCTTAAAAGATAGCTATTGAGACCTCATTTTCTCTGCTTAACTTTCTTTCAACTCTTCCAAGTTTTCTCATGATCAAGGGGGTTTTTTAGCCATTGGATATTTTTAAACAAAACTTTATTATTACAATGGGTATAAAAGATATATCCATTAAAATGGGTATTCTAGAAAATAACTGACTATTCTGGTTTCAACTACCAAAACAATGGTTCATTTGCTCAAAGCTATGATAAATATAATTTTACTGCTTTTAAAAAAAATAAAAGAAACACTTCAAACTCATTGTATTTGAGTTGCAGCTGACTCATAGCTGATCCTTCGGTGGGTTTTCTGATGCTGTACATCACATGGGAGGAGAATGCCCACGTTTCTCCCTGGATCACCTGATGGATTCAGATCATCTACCTCTGGGTTGACAGAGCAACTCTTTATGCATTAGGCCACCAGAGCTCCCTTGCTTTTCTCAAATGTTGATATTCTCTAGGAGAATAGTGTCTCTGATAAATGTACAAATAGACCAGTTCTAGAATTTGTTTTATTTAGGTTTAATACTTTAATTGTAAGGAGAGGAAATTATAGCAGAAGGAGCATTGTTTTGAAATTCTGACTGATCTCATTCAAATCTCAAGCCTGACCAGTTGTATAACCTTGGGCGATCACATAATTTCTGAGTCCTTTTTCTTTTTTTAATTACTAATTTTAATGAAAGTTTACAGATACTTAGGGTTTCCAGTCATTTATTGTGAGTACTTTCTCTTCCTGTAGCATGTGAAGAGGGTGCTCACTGTCTAGTATGGGGCTAGTAGGAATATTCACTGGGGCAGTGTGTCCAGCACACCTACAAATGCTATGCAATCATTTCTTTCCTTTCCCATTCCCTCACAACTTCAAGGAAACACATAGAATTTGTAGACCTAATTTTCCCTCTGCAGTCTATAAACTGGCTTCAGTATGTTTTATTTCTCAAATGTAAGATATAAAATGGTCTTTTACAGTGCTGAGTCGGATAAGGAGCTGGCTGGAAAACCACCAGGTGGAGAGCAATGGGCTTGTTCGGAATATTCAGAATTCTTTAAATGAATATGAAGCCAAGCTCAGTGACCTTCGTAGCGCACTACAGGAAGCAACTACACAAGCCAAGCAGGCTGCTGACCTCAACCAAGACAATGAGAGAGCTTTGGAAACCATCAAGGTAAGTTCACAGTGGATATTCACAGACTATATTAAGTCATTTTATTTTTTTTCTATAATTATATTTTATTAATTTTCATAAACATTTAC